ACTACAATTTTATTATTGGTTTGATTAAAGGCATGTTTAGTTAAATTAAATATTTAATTTGGTTTAGAATATAAAAAGGGAATTTTATTATGGTTCATATAATTTGTATTGATGCTTTAAGCATGGGATTGGAGCTATTAAGTGTCTTAGTACACAGGTATAAAATGAAATGCGGTGCCTATGTGCAATTAAGGTGTTCTAAACACTGATGGATAGGATTTGCGGTGCATTATGCGCTTAAGTTGTTTATTTAACACCGAGGTAGTTTTAATAAGGATTCAACATTATTTAATTATTTGTGATCACTAACTATTCAAGAATTAAATTGGAATGTGTGATTGCTTGAATGAATTGTATGGATTGGTTGTGTTATGGATTGAGAGTCATCACCAAGTATAAAATGTAAACAACGTAAAGTGAAAGAGATTGCGCACCAAAACTCTTGGAACATATATACCTCGAGTATGAATATATAACTTTTATTGGAAGTACCAGACACTGTATTTTCCGTTTTATTTTATGTGCAGGACGTCCGTCACTCATAAGTGACATTTATGCCTACCTGGTTAGCTCCCGGAGTAGTTTACCGCAATTTATTAGGGTTAGGGATTTGGTGGGAAACCTGTTCGATGCATAATCAAATTAAATAAGCAATTTAATTATCAATTGATTGAGTTGTATGTTGTATGCTTGTAAACAGGTGCAACAAGGTAAGTTGTGTGATGCTAGGATGTAAGCATGTTAGTGTGTTTCATTTACGCTTATGTACTCAGCATTCACTATAAGAATTGAGTCGTTTACCGATGCCCAAAATTCATCAGTAAACATACCAAAAACCATCGGTATTTGGCCAACGAAGAACCATTCGTCGAAAAGACAAGAAATACCGATGAAAAAGTCATCGGTAAAAGTGATATCGATGGGAAAAAAAAAAACCATTGTATTTTTTAAATAACAAAATACAAAAAAAAAATCATAAAAAAACACACAAGAATCAATGAAATCAATGGTCAAATAACAAATATCGAGCCAATTAACGAAATAAAGAATAAACCCACAAAAACGAAATAAACTCACAATTTTATACAAAAATCAACATACCTTTTAAAATTTCATCTTTTTTGGGTTTAAATGGTCAAAACAATCCAGATCTCGAGTTCGACCAAAAAAATCGTAAACTTCAAATTTTCATGGTCATTTTGATGCGGGAGAAGAGGTGGAGAGAAAGAAATCAAAAGAGATGAGAGAGAAAACAGATCGTGGAGGAGAGAGAAGGAGAGAGAAGAAACATTAGAGGAGAGATGAGAGCAAAAATGTTAGAGGAGAGAAGGAGATAGAAAAAGGAGATGAGAAAGAAGAGATAGGTAGAGGAGGGATAAAAAAGAGACTAAAGATAGAAAAATTTAGGGCTGCTTTAAGCATTGCTGATTGTACTCATTTACTCTTATGTACTCAGCATTGCTGATTGTGTGTTTGTATGTTTGTTTGGCCTTATCTTTATCTTGACCCTTCGACGACCCATTTCTAATGGCGACTAGTGGGGACAAATTAAAGAGAAGCTTTTTAGGTGATGAAGCATATTCATGATGGGCATGAGTGATGAGTGAATCTTGTTTGGTTTCTATAAGAATTTGATATGTTTTAATTGCTTTGATTATTATATATTTGCTTGTGAGACTAACGCAATGATTTTTAAATATTTGGTTTTGGAATTTGAAAAGGGCCTACGATGGTTCCAAGTTGTAGGTTGACTTCGTTTGACTTTGTTTGAATTTACTTTCGTTTGATTTGACTTTTAAAGTTGGTTTGTTTTGAATGGTTTTGAAATAAGTCTTCCGCTGTGTGTGTTTGATATTTGCCTTAGCCGTTATCACGGTTGAGGTAATATTTTAGAATTTCCTATTTCGTATTTTTAAAAGGACAAAACAGGTATTTTAAAACGAAAGAATTTCTAGGGTGTTACATGCGCGCATAACGCGTGTTAGCCACCCTAGTGATATCAAAAATTCAATATCTGGTATCAAAATATTAAGATCTGATATCAAATTTTTAATATTTGATGTCAAAAGTTCGATAGGTGGTACTCATTGCGTCCAATAATACTTGACACAATTACCATTTTCGTCCGTCCCAAAATACTTGACACGTTACTAAATATGAAATGGTACCACTAATAAAAAAGTATTTTCCCTCTCCTCACTACCCCACCTCCCCCACTTTTTTTTTCTTACAATATAAAAATACAATAGAGAATCTTTTATATAACAAACAAATGTTTTAAGTGGACCAACTTGTAATTTTCTTAAACTACGTATCCATCTTAACGTTCTAAGTACTATGGGACGGAGGGAGTATTAAAATTTTAAAATCTGGTATCAACATTTCAAATCTTATATCAACAATTTAGTATATAATACTCTTTCTGTTAATTTTAAGTGTTACACTTTGATCGACGCATATTTTAGACAAATTAATTGACTTGAATATGAAAATATTATATTATAGGAATATTATACTACCTCCGTTAAGTTTTAGTTGCAACTTTTACTATATTCGGATGCTTAGTACTAGTTACAACCTTCCCAAATCTTTCCTTTTTGGTAAGTTTTTTTTTGCTTGAAATGTCAATATTGCCCTTATTTAAGAAAATTAAACATTCACTTAGATAATTAATTACATTACAGTAACAACTTAATCTGAATGCTAATCTAACAACTCACACAAAAAATTAACCCATTTACCCACCTACCAAATTTATTTCCCTCAATTAAATCCATAGATCTTCATCAATTCATCAGATCTGATGAATGAAAACCCTAGTTCTTGAACATTCTATACATCTTCCCAACTTGGCTCTTTCTCTCTGCTCTCAATCTCCATTTATCTCAACCTCCATTTGATTTCGACTCCTCCAAGCACTAGCACCAACGTCGTCGTGGCTATGTTGGTTTTGCGGCAAGAAGGGAAGCAACACACATGGTTGTTTTCTTGTGGAAGTATATATCTCTTTATTATAGTGAATCAAATATCATTTTATTAATACTTGTGGAAAAAAAAGTGGCAAAATATTTAATTAGGATATGACACGTGTTATTCTTGATTCGCCTTTAACATATATTTATAGTAACTATAATTTTATATATAAGAAATTAATTCGTCATATATTATTCTATAAGTTAAGATAAAATAAAAAATGCAATTGTGTCACATAAGATCAAAAATATTCGTATGATTTAGGCAATAATTTAAGATGAAAATATTATTCAATTCTATTATCTAATACTAAAACAAAATATTGTTGACATCATCTACCCCTATACTATCCTACGTGTCATTTTTAAATTTAATTTGTGATGTCATCAATGATTTTTTTATTTTTTTATCTACACTTTATACGTATTCCTTGGACTTGGATAATGCAAATATAATTTGTTTGTTGAATACGTTCAACTCATGGTTAATGCCATCATTGTTTAACGCCACCGTTTTTTCATATTTCGTTTATATGCAATCCTTAAATCATTTTCTCTCGACTATTTTAATTATTAATTGAATTTTTAAATAATGTGGTTCTAGTGTATTCCTAACTGTAAATTATTTTAATATCTAATTCTAATCATTATATACAATATAATGCAACTGAACATAAATTACAAGAAAGTTTAATGCATCACATGGGGATAACCTAGTTTGTTAATAAGATCAAAAATATTTTTGAGATTTATTGTATAATTTAAAATAAAAAATATTATGCAATTTTCTCACATCGGATAAAAAATATTCATAAGGTTTTTGCAAGCAATAATTTAAGATAAAAAATATAATTCACTTTTGTCACATATGATAAAAAATATTCGTAAGATTTTTTGTAGAAAATAAAAATTTCAACAAATATATAAAGTAATCCCTCTGTTTTTAAATACTTGTTGCATTTCTACATGCGCGGAGTTTTAGTAGAAATTGGAGAAAGTAATAAAATATGGAGGTAGTGGGGTAGGTGGAAGAATGAAAAATTGTAAAAAGTAAAAGTAATTGAGAAAATTGGAAGAGAGAGAATATGAAATTAATAAAATATGATTTATGTTGGGTCCACTAATTGAGGAAAATGAATTAAATATTCACTACAAGAAAACAACTTGATTCCGACTAAAAAAATCCGTCGGAAACATCGGAAATTCCGTCGGAAAACGGTCTTCCGACGGAATTCTGTCGAAATCAGTCTGTCGCAAAACCCTTTGTAGGAAATTCGACCTTTTCCGACGGAATTTCCCAACACACCCACCCAGACCACCCACCACCACACCCACGAATCGAACCCCCCCCCCCCCCACCCAACCCAGACCAGTCCAAAACCCACCCTGACTAACCACCTTAACCAACCCACCCTAACCAACCACCTAACCCACCTACTGAAAAAACCCAGATCGAACAACAACCAAAAACCAAAACAACCACCAACCACCGAAACAACAACATCCAAAATCGAAACAACAAACAAAACAACAACCAAATCTCGAAAAAATTTAAATCAAACAAAAAAAAAGAAATATACAATTATCTTCTGAAATTAAAAAAAAAAATAACATTACAATTATATCAAAAATTAATTATAATCAGAATTGTTTATACATTACATTGCATAATCCAGATCTACAAACTTAAATTTAAAATCTATAATCTTACTTAACAATTTCCTAATGAACGACAATGAAGAACGAGACGAGGTGCTTGACGGTGAACGAGAACGACAATGACGGTGGACGACGGTGCTTTGTGGTTGTGCTTAGACGGTGCTTTTTCGTTGTGCTTTGACGGTGCTTTGAACGAGAAACAGAAGAAGAGAGGCGAGATAGAGAAGAGGACAAGAGAGAGAAAGAAAAGAAAAGAGGCAGAGAGATGAAGGAGGAAGAGAAGAGGAGAGGAGAAAAAAGAAAAAAGAGGCGGAAGAGAGGAGAGAGAAAACAAAAATGAAGTAGGGTTTCCGGGTTTTGTAGGTTTTTTTTTTTTTTTTGTAAGTCAAAATTTCGTCGGAAATTTCTAACGGAAATAAACTCCGTCGGAATTTTCCTACGGATTTAAAATCCGTAGGAAATTAATATATTCCGACGGATTAATTTTCCTTCGGAATTTACAGCCTCCGACGGAAAATTCCGTCGGAAGGAATTTTTCGAGGGAATATTCCATCGGAAGTAGTAAATTCCGAGGGAAAAAAATCCGTCGGAATATTTTCGAGGGATTTTCCGTCGCAACTTATCTTTTCCGACGTGCTTTTCTGACAGACATAAATTCCGTCGGAAAATTCAAATTTTCCGACGGAAATTAAGTCCGTCGGAACTATTCCGTCGGAAAACGGCCTATTTCTAGTAGTGATTGTAAAAGTTTTCCAAATAACGAAATAGTGCAAGTATTTAAAAACGGACGGAAATGAAAAGTGGAGTATGTATTTAAAAATAGAGGGAGTATATATTTGACAATTCTTTATATAGAATTGGGGAAATGGGCGGGAAGTTTTTTTTATAGTGGAGTGATATGTGGAGCTTTTGCATATAATATCCTCTGCTTTAGTATATAGATATATAGATTAATATGCTTTTTCAATTGGAGGCCCTCTTCATTTCATGGCCCTATGCTATGGGTCTCTTTGCACATGCCCATTGCCGACCCGACCTATCGATACACCCTCCACTGGTTATTGAAAGAGTTTTCAATTCCTTCATTATGTCAATAATTTGTTGTGAAACATATAGATTCCGCTAGCTAATTACCTTTTAAATTTATTATTTCCTCTGTTTCATATTAGATGACACATTTTATTTAGGTGCATTTGTTAATGCATAATTTCTAATGAAAATATCTTTGATTATATATTAGCAAAAATTATATTAAAAAATAATAGATGTTGAAACGATTCTAATAAGACCCCACATGACTATAATTTTCTTAAACATAAAATCACAAAACAAAGTCAAAGCAAGTTATGTGAACATTGCACAAAGTCAAGCTGTGTCATCTAATTTGGAACGAAAAAAGTACAATACTCCCCCGTCCATTTATTACGAGCCTGAATCTTATTTAGTGACCTAAAATATTAGGCCTATTTCTATATTTCATGAAAAATTACTTTCATACCCCCACTTTTTACAATTTTCTCAAACCAAAATTCCCTAAGTACCCTTCAAAGTTGATGCACACGTGTAACTAAATGCATTAAATTGCACAAACCAATAATGTGCATTAAATGCATTTTCATTACTGTCCAAAATGATTAATGTTACCTTTTAAATTATTAATCTCAATAATGTACTTCCCACATAATTTTACATTAATTTTATCCACTTTCCTTAATTCCGTTAAAAATGAGGACATGTAATAAAGGCACAAAGGGAGGATTTGACCTAACATGGTTCTATATATATATATATAAGAAGATGGGAGGAATGGCATTTATTTAGATGTCCAAATTAATATAATTTTCAGTTTTAATCTTTATTTTTTTGAAATAGTGTACAACCATGATTTACTATCCAAATAACAAGGTTGTGATACTTCTATTCATGCTAATTATTTTTTCTTTAACTAGCTTTGGGAGTGGAGCAAGATTCAAATGCCCTATAGAACATTCAAATGAAATTCCAAAACCCAAAAATTATTATATTCATCGCAGATTGCCTCCACCTTCAGGACCATCAAGAAGACACAACGATGGTGTTTTTACGAAGAATGATGATGCTAATCAAGTTAATCATCGTAACATCTTAGCTTGATAATAAGTCAATTACTCCAGACTCGTTCAGTAATATTGTAGTTTCAGTTTTTTGTTTTTAAAAGTCATATTATATATCATATATGACATACAATGAATAAAAATTTAGTCTACGTATTGGAATCAAGATTACAGTTTTTTATTTTATTTTTATTTTTATTATTATTTTTCTTTTAAATTTATAGTTATTGTTCTTTTATTTTCTTACCTTCTATCCTTTTTTGTTGCTTAGATGGAGTAAAGGTGGGAACAATTGGAATTTGGAAATGAGCAAGTAAGGAGCGGAAACTAAATGTAGCGACTTAAGTTGGGTGAAAAACACTGAAAATATTTAAATACGCCCATGTGCAAGATTCAATCCAAAGTTATTTTGTTTCTCATTTGATGATTAAATGGGCAATAAGCATATTTTAATCATCAAAATGAGCAAAAAATAAATAAATTGGATGCACCGTACATCCGGGTGTATATAACAACCTTTGAAAAAATATTTTCGGCGAAGATAATTGGTTTATGGTAGAAATTTAAATCGTTTTTACTCAGGAACTAATGACAATATATGTGCTTGTGTACATATTTTAACTTTTGCTTGTAGTTTACAATTGCTCATATGTAAGTTCTAGCTTTTGTTGAATTAAATATGTACTCCCTTCGTCCCTTTTTATAGTTTTCATTTAAATTTTGACATTATTCATAATGTGAGAGAATCTTCTAAATTACTCTTATTATATAAAACATAACGTAATAGTGTTGGGTCTTATTTTATTCGTTTCGATAAATAAATTATTAATATTCAATTGTATATTTTTTACTAATAACTAACAATATTTATTGTCAAACTGTTGCACTGGCAACTTGCATAGTCCAAATGAGAACTATACGAAGATGAGAGTGAATAATGACATTAACTTAGATGTTCAAATTAACATAATTTTCAGTTTTAATCTTTATTTTTTTTGAAATAGTGTAAAACCATGATTAACTATTCAAATAACAAGGTTGTGATACTTCTATTCATGCTAATTATTTTTTCTTTACCTAGCTTTGGGAGTGGAGCAAGATATATATATATATAGTGGCGGACCTGGGCTTGTGCCTGGTGGGTCAAGTGACTCACCAGGGCCCAAAAAAAATTCTAAGTTTTCTTTTTTTTTTTAAAAAAAAAAATAAAAATAAAAAATAAAAATTCTAACTTCAGCCTATTCCCCTTTCACCTTCTCCTCGCCGCAGCTGCAAGTTTGCAACCACATTTCGCGTTCCCCTTTCATTCTCCCTCCTCATTCACTAAAATTCTAACTTCAGCCTGTTCCCCTTTCACCTTCTCCTCGCCGCAGCTGCAACCACATTTCGCATTCCCCTTTCATTCTCCCTCCTCATTCACTAATGACTCATGGTGGTCGTGAGAGATAACGACTGTGTGGTTTGATTTCTAGGATTTTTTTTGGTGTTCATGGTATGAGCTTCTTTAAACTTTCCCCTTTAAATTTCAAATTTAAGGTTTCTTTGCATAATTACTAGTTCAAATCTTTGATTTTTTTTCGATTTCTAGGGTTTCGATTTGTAACTGTTGGTGGTGGTGGAGAGCAGCGATGGTGACTGGTGAGGTTCGATTTGTGCTTATAGATATGCAAAGTAGCTAGAATTTTGAATGTGTTTGGCTTCATGTGTGTTTTTCATTTGCTAATTGCCTAATTTAATTTACGATTTGGGGATTTTTGATGTAGGTTTTCTGTATTTGATTTAATTATGTCATTTTTGTTTAAATTTGTGTTTTGTGCCAGTTTTTGCTCGGAAAGTTGAAGGGGTTTTGTTATCTACTAATGGGTAGTCAGGATTAGCTGATTTTTGTGTGAATAAGGATTGTTTTGAAGTTTAATTAGCTTAATTTATGTGGAATTTGTGCTCAAATAAAGTACTTGCTATCTGTATAATCATTTTGTTTGCTTAAACTAAACAATTTCGTCTAAAAAAGTAGAAATTGAAGATTGGTTTTGAGTCTTTTGACTGTGTTTAGTTATAGTTTTGTCTAATTGTCTTCATTATAATTTTTAAGTCCCAAACGATTTATTTTAATATGATTAGCCGATTAGAAACTGAAGAATGGTTTTAATTAGCCGATTTGGGAATTTTTCCTCTAGAAACTGAAGTTGTGACCGGATATTTGACTATTTGAGTTGAGTAGTTGAGCCCTATAATTTTTGTTTAATTGATATTGATTATTATTTCTGATTTTCTGTTTAATTGATATTAATTATTGAATTTATTATCATTCATTCTGCATTTATCATGTATGTGTCGCAATAACTGATTTGGATGATCTTTGTAAATAATTTTTCTGGGGAATATTGCTTGATTTAGTTGAATATGAACCGTCCAACCAATTATGAATAGGGATAATTCGCTGTTGGGGTTATTTGCATATGATTCATACTTGTGATTTCATTTGTTTTGTTAACTTTGTGTTTGATTAGGTTGTTGAATTTATATACAGGGAAGACTCAGCTTATCAATCATTTTCTAATCAACAAGAGTTGGTATATTGTTAATTTGCCTGGATATGGGTGAGTCTCTGTAATTTTGGTTTTAATTTGGGCAATTTCTGTAATTCTTGAGTCTATTTCATGCTGGGAATATTGTATACTTGTATTGTGAATCAATTGTTATTCGTGTTTATTCCTGATCATATGCTTGAATCATATTGAAGTGCCAAAAAAGGATTGCTTTTACGCCTTGAGGCATTGCTTCAAAATTATTGATCATCCTGTAAAACATGTTGCGGACTGATATGTATTTAGGCTACATCCGTTGTAGTTAATTTGGTCTCCAATCGTGTTGTTTATTTTCAAGTTTAGGAAGTAAATGTCTCCTTACATGTCATTGTGAAATTTTATTTTACATATTTGATTATCGATTGTGACTCACCAGTCGGAAATTCCTGGGTCCGCCACTGTATATATATATATTGGTAAATAGAGATTCAAATACCCTATAAAACATTCAAATGTAATTCCAAAACCCAAAAATCATTATAATCATCATAGGTACCCTCCACCGTCGGGACAATCAGGAAGACACAACGGTGTGCTATTACAAAGAATGATGCTGCTGCTAATCAAGTTAATCATCGTAACATCTTAGCTTGATATATCAAGTACTCCGGGCTCGTTCGATATTACCGTAGTTTTTAGCGTTTTGGTTTTTTGTTTTTGAAAGTCATATAAATTATGATATATGCTCTATAATAAATACTCCTTTCTTTTCAAAATGATGCATATTTACGTATATCGATATAAGTTTTTACCCATCTTTGACCGCAAATATTTCTAATCTCACACTAGCTTATAAAAAAATTATAAAAGTTAGATATTAATAATATACTCACCAATACGAATCAAACTAGACCCCACAGTACATGACTATATTTGTTCTTATAAATTGAGAGAAATTTAGAAGATTCTCTCTTATTTTTTAAAAGTCAAAGATTTCAAACAGGAACATCATTATGAAACGGAGGGATAAAAAATTAGTCTTACGTATTGAAATCATTATTACAAAGAAAACTGACAATAAAAAAGTGTTCTAGCTTTCTGTTTATGGTTTTTATCATTTCGATTTCGTTTTTATTTTTTATTTTTATATCTTTTTATTGTTATTGTTCTTTTATTTGAACAATTTGCCAAATTGATGCTCAAATATAAAGTAATTACTAAGATAGTGTTCACTTGAAAATATTTCTCAAAGTAGTGTCCATATAGATCTAGAAAACCTAAACATATAATTATTATCACATCATTTTAAAAGTCTAACTTAAAAAATTCATCCATACATGAAGATTGTTCATCATCTCCATTAAAAATGGTGCTACAAAATTAGTCGTGTTTAGAGATTGAGTTTTTGACTTAGTATATGTAATACCATATCCCGATTGATATTACACCGTAGAACACTATATGGTGATTGATAAGTTCCCTTTGATGATTTAAGTTCGACTAAATAATACATTATATATCATGTTACATATAAGTCTTTTGACAAATTATATCCATGCCAAAAATGCTAGAAATATTCATAATCCATACTCTGGTTAGTGTTTATTGTATCCATTTTTATTGTTAAAATACAAAAGCATTAATGATTAAGACTCAACTACATAGATCAATGCAAGATATCGTTAGCAATAAAGATAAAGAATTTGATGGTATATGTTTCGGGGTTTTTTTATGTCCTGCGGGAGAGTTACAATTCCGGGACTGGGATCCTTGCGCTTGTACCTGCAAAACAACGGAGACTCCGGGTGGTGGGAGCTCCGCCTCTGACGATCAAGTTAGAACGTGTTTAAGTAGTAAAAGGTGCGGAAAGTAAAAGTGATCTGGTTCCTCTAATGAGAGGAGTGATCAAGGTGTGCAATTAATGCTAAGTCTGGTCTAGCAAGTAGTATGCACGAGGTTTGGGGCTTCTCTTGGTGAGATGATTAATTAATTCTAAATCATGTTTAATGAAGGCTAATTACTGTATTTATAGCCTCGAAGTACGTGCCCAATACTAGGTTAAATGGTAAACCTAGGACTGATTGGGCTTGCCTCGTGATTCGGGCCCTGTTGGCCGTTTTCCAGGTTGGCAGATAGTGAGCCACGTGGCGTGGCGCGATTGGTCCATGCTGGACCTCCTGGAGTATGACACGTGGCAGTCCCTGATTGACCCACCTGGCTGACACGTGGCAAATGCTGATTGATCCACGTGGCGGGAAAACCTCCTAAACATTTGCCCCTCACAAGGTTCACGTGACTCGTCACGTGATGCCTGTGACAGGTGTCGGCCCATAGCTGGACGACGGCTTGTGACGGGTGTCGGCCTGCGGTAAGCCGTCTGTTTTTCCCGCCTATTTCCTTCTTCTTCTTTTTTGAATTTTGGATATGACCCTTCGCATTCTCATATTACCCTATATAAGGGCATTTGACCAAAGTCCTTGTTCACATTTGTGAACTTTTGCAAGAGAACTCGGAACCCTGAACTTGTGCTCTGAGATTTCTGGACGACTGATAATCAACCGACTGTTTACGCTTGCCGACTGTTCGTGGTGACCGACTGTTTAAGACTTCCATCTCCTTTTCTTAGTAAACACACTTCAGGTAACCGTCTGTTTTGCTCTTGCACTTTTCATTTCTTTGCATTTTTCTTTTGAAAATATGGTATCCCAAAAGCACCCGGCACGACCTAGGATAGGTTAGTGATCAGTCGGTCACCGGGGACGGCTGAATCTAGGACTAAGAGTGCCGCCTGCCCCTTTCTGGACAAAACTTTGCCCTGTGCTCCAAGTCCGACTGTCTCCGTGTCTGTGCAGGACACTATGGCCAGAACAAAGAGGACGGCCAGATACTCAAATTCAGACGGCTCCTCGTACTATGTTCAGATGAGCGAGCTTTCGGACCAGCCTCCTGGTACCCCTAACACTCCAAGTGATTCAATTTTGGGAGAATCAGAGGAGGTTCAGGCGGCCACTCCTGTTCTTGTTGACATGTCAGGACAAGAGCTGGACCTTTCCGAGAAAGAGGAGTCGTCCTCTTCTAGGAGTTCAAGCGGCTCTGAGTCTAGTTCATCCAGCCGGCATTCTCCAGACTCAGAAGAGAGGCATTCTCGTCTTCACGATGCGAGAGCATCTCATGCTATCGAAAAGGGGGACGGCTGGGCAGAGCCGTCTGCTTCTCATAGGGAGTTGAACACCCCCTACTATTGCCACGTCCCAAAGGGCAGGCGAAAAACCATGGCAGAGAGACTTGGAACATTCAAGGCCGACCATGTAATGGGTTATGGCTACATGCTCTCTGTCCCGGACCTGAGGACACGGTAGTCTGGCCTGAAAAGTCTAGCTACCGGGACGAGTGTTTCGGCTGCTACGAAGCGGCCATTAAGGTTGGACTTAGATTTCCCCTGCATCCGGCCGTGGAACGGATCTTGGACGGATACTAGATTGGGCTCTGGCAGCTTGCCCTAAACTCCTGGTTTAACATTTTGGGGTATGTGGCCAGCTGCGAAATGTATGGGGTGGAACCAAGTTTTGAAGCGTTCGCCCACATGAATTACCTTAGCCGGACCCCTAAAACAAGCGATACCGGATGGTACCAGATTTTTAGCTACAAGGGCTATTTAATGACCAGGGGTGAAGAGAACAAATGGAAGGATTGAAGGAACACCTTCTTCATTGTCTCCGGCCCTGACAAGGCTTTGAACAAAAAATACAATAGGTGGAACCGGGATCCACCTTACTTAGCAGGCGACTCTGACCTGCCGCCTGTTCCTCGTGAAGCGAAAAAGGAGATCCTAGACCGAGGACTCTTCAAGGTGGACATCCAGGCCAACCCTACTACAGGGGTCCGAGAGCTTATTCCTCACAACTGTCTACCAAAGTTCAAATGGATGTATGATGAATACTTTTTGGCCGCATGTGGCCTTAGTGAACGAACGGCTAGAGGTAGTCGGCCCACTACTGTTCGTGTTTGTGCATTCCTTGATTTGCCTGAATATTTTTCTAACTCTGTGATGCTCTGCTTGTAGATAAAGCCATGGAGAAGATTACCGCCTTCAAGAAAGCAGCCGCCCTTCTGCGCGTCGCCATTCTTGGCCAGAAGCGGCCTGTCTCTGACTCGCCTTCAAAGGAGGTGTCCAAGGTGAGCTTCTGATATCCATAGATGTTTTTTTTTTACTTGGTTGTTTGTTGCAGGGTGAGTCGCCCAGACCTTCTCCCTCCGAGAAGTCGGACCCGAAAACCCATAAGCAAACGGCAGGAAGTACGCCTGGCTCTTCTAGGAAGCAGCCGGCTGAAAAGCAGGCTCAGACTCCTCAAGGTGGGTCAAAACAAACAACTGTCCCTAGGGATACTCGGCCTCCAAGAGGTATTGAACTTGTTTACTTTCAACTTCAAGTCTTCTCAAATTAGGCAGCCTGTTGCCCCTCATTCATACGCCATTTTGATTGTCTCTGTTATTGCAGGCGCCCCCCAGGAGCTGAACTTGGTTCAAATGGCCAAGTCCATGCTCAAGGCCATTCCCCTCAAGGAGAGGGAATCTGTCAAGGGAGTCGGCACCCTTGACCTGGAGTCAATCCTGGCTCTTCTTTCTGAGGTAGACTTGATTTAATATTTCATTTTGTAGGCAAGTTGCCGAACCATTGTTGGCGACGCCTTTCGATGTGGCCGGGAAACACTTGCACCATGTGGCATCATCCAACCCTTGGAGGTACATAAGGTTGGTCTACGCCATCAAATGATCTTCAAGGTTGGTAGTGCCATCATATGCCCCTACTAACACATTTTTTACTTTGGTCGGTTGGGCGGCCTCTATTATCTCCTTAGAGAAGGCGGAGGGCTGTTCTCCAAGTTTAAGCAACCTAAGTTGCCAGTCCAAAGGCTGGACATTCCTTGCCGCCTGCCCTCCAAAAAGAGTAGGCTGCATGAAATATTGGGACTGCGGAATGTATGGTTGAGGAGGCACATACGGGCCGCATGATGTTTCTGGGAACCAGAACGAGAGGAGGCTCCGGGCGTCTGGCTCTCATAATTTGATTTCGAATACCTTAGGGAGGTATTATGTAGACTGTCTTGAAAATCAGACGAAGAGGCCGACTCTGACAGTTGGTCATTCTTCTTCTGCTCGAGCAACATTCGAGCATCAGAGTATGTTCTCTTTGACCCATCCGGCTGAATATGACGGATGGGCTTTCTCTTCCCTGGTAAGGGAAAGCGGTACCTAGTTAGGTCGATCATTGGCGCTTCCCTCTCCCTAGGCTTAGGGTAAGGAGTCGCCTCCCGATCCTTTACAACCTTCTTCCTCCCAGATTGGAAGGGTCTTCTGGTCGACTGTTCCTTTGGTGGAACGGTCG